AGAGGTTGTAAACAGTCCTGTGGAAGGGGAAGGAAAAAAAAAATCAATCAATCAAACAAACAAGCCATTAAGAAATAATCAATTTTGGAAAAGAACATACCCACAGATTATTAGAATTGAAGTAGGATCTTTCTCGAGGGCAAAGAAAACCCCTAAAATAAGCTGAGGCAGTAGAGTCATTAAATCTAAATCTCAAAATAAGCTTTGGGAACTCCTATTTATTTTTGTCAAAGTGGGCAACAGTCAAAGTAAACAAAGACTATCTCCCTGAAAATAATGTAAAGCTATAGAACAAGTAAATCTCCTTTTAACAAACAGTTTTGAGGTTTTAAACTACAAAGGGCAAGGCTGGAGAGATGGCTCCAGTAGTTAAAAGAACTTGTTGCTCTTCCAGAAGACCCAAGCTCCCAGTATCCACATGGTGGCTCAAAATTATCCATTTCAGGTGATCGGACACCTGGTGCACATACAGACACGCAAGCAAAACACTTTAATACGGATAAAATAGAGAATACACTACAAAAGTAATTCAAGTCGTATGTCAAAAAGATTTAACACTCAGTCTCAAATCAGTATCTTTAAACTACAACCAAGACTCCTGAGGTGTGTTTTGAGAATCACTCGTCAAAGTATGCCTGAGATCAGATTGTTGTTGGACCTTCAGAAACAGAGAAATTAAGAGGGTGGAGGGGAACACTCACTGATGGGTCAAGGGATATGATTCTGACAGTGTTGTCCACCAATCCCACAGCCAGGAATCGAGATCGCTGTTCTCCTGGAGGTACGTTGGCCAGACTCATGCACACCACATCTGCTGACATCTCCTTCCGTTCTGTGTACTCGTTCAATTGTCCTGACTGTGAGGAAGGAAAACAAAATAGGTCTATGTGCTATAATCCACCCCCAAACTCTGTGCCTACGAAAGGAAGACGATGGGTTGTTAAGCCCCCCCATCCTTTTTGCTTTTGAAACAGTTTCATGTAGCTTATACTAGCTATGTAGCCAAGGATGAACTTGAACTTTAGGCTCCACTGCCTCCACTGAGGACAGTTTACGTAGGGCTGGAGATCGACCACCTGAGCTACATTACTAGCACCTGTCTCACATCTCCCTTGTAATAACAGTCAATGCCCAAGAGTTTCACCATTTCAGGTCCCATAATCAACTTCACAGGTTAATGTCTAACATATTAATATCTCAGAGGGGGAAAAGTAAAAATATCTTTGACAAAAAGCAGGATATGGCACAAACATAAACTAACCTAGACCAGGAAACAGAAATATACACTTCATGAGAACCCTGAATGAAGCCAGCTGTGGTAGTACAAGACTATAATCCCAGCACGTGGAGACAGAAGGGAGGACCAAGGGTTCAAGGCCAATTTAGTCTATGTGAGCTCACCTCAACCCTTCCGCCAAAAAACACCTGAGTGAAAGTGAACCGAAACATGGTCAAAACCAAATCTCAACTCTAGTAGAGATTTTTGAAGAGTAAGGTAAGTTCTGGATACATTTTCATATAAAATGGCAAAAGTCAGGCACAATGACTCCTAAGTGTAATCCTAGAATTTAGGAAGCTGAGACAGAAGAATTGCTTAGGATTACTGTGAGTTTGACACCAGCCTAGAGTCCTACATCAGAACCCATCTTTTTTTCTTTTTTGATTTTCGAGACAGGGTTTCTCCGTAGCTTTTTGGTTCCTGTCCTGGAACTAGCTCTTCTAGACCAGGCTGGCCTTGAACTCACAGAGATCCGATCAGAACCCATCTTAAAAAGCAAAACAACAACAACCAACAAACAAAAACAAAAACTGGGGGCTGGAGAGATGATTCATCAGTTTAGGAGCACTGGAGGCTCTTCAAAGATCCTGAGTTCTATTCTCATGTGATTACATGGTGGCTCACAGCCATCTACAGTGGGGTCTGATGCCCTCTTTTGACATAATGTTGGAAATATAGATAGAGTACTCACATAATTAAAAAACAAAGAGAAGAAAATAAATCTTTGCCAAATATTCATTAGATAATGAAGGTGAGCCAGATAATAATGGCACACACCTTTATTCCCAGTATTCAGGAAGTAGAGACAGGCAGATCTCCAAGTCTGAGGCCAGTCTGTTCTACAGGGTGAGGGTGAGATACAAAAAAATTAGCAAGTATTTCACTGTCAAGAGGACTTCACATAACTCTAATCTGAATGAGATTTACTAATTTTTGTTCTTTAGAAAGGGCCAGATTGGGCTGGAGAGATGACTCAAAGGATAAGAGCATAGGCTGTTCTTCCAGAGGTTCAATTCCCAACAACCACATGATGGCTCACAATCTGTAATGAGACCTGTCACCCTCTTCTGGCCTGCAGGTAGAACACTGTATACATAATAAATCTTTTTTTAAATATTTATTTATTTATTATGTATACAATGTTCTGTCTGTGTGTATGCCTGCAGGCCAGAAGAGGGCACCAGACCTCATTACAGATGGTTGTGAGCCACCATGTGGTTGCTGGGAATTGAACTCAGGACCCCTGGAAGAGCAGACAATGCTCTTAACTGCTGAACCATCTCTCCAGCCCTACATAATCTTAAAAAAAAAAAAAAAGTCATATATTGCACATAAACTCATGCAGGCATAAATACATATACATAATAATAATAATAAATCTTTAAAAGGGCCAGACTGTCTTATGAACATGCTCATTCCCAATTCCCAATATTATATATACTGATAACAATATTACCAAGCTTCAGAATCTCAGTCCAAAAACCATAATGAAAGATAACACATGGTCAACAACAAAAAAATAAATAACATACAGGATCCATCTCGAAATAGACAAGTTCTCCTCCAGTCAGGGCGATCACCACTTGCCGCTGGTTCACTGCACACTTCACGATTGTTTTCTTGCCAGGGGTCTTCCACTCATTGACTCTCTTATCTGCTCTTATGTGTCGAATGCCATCTGGATACACCTAGAAGTCAGTCAAAGAACAAAATGTAACTAGCAATTTGAATATCACCCAGAATGATTCTCATGCCTGGCAAACCTGAAATTTAGATATCAACTAGAGTTAGCAGAGCCCAGACAAATTAATTTTTAAAGATTTTTTTAAAAGTTCATGCTTTGCTACACAAGTTCAAAGAAGTCCAAAGCCTACTTGATAAAGATGAGAACAGCAATAATGGATTTTGTAACAGAAATGGCAAGCATAGGAAATGTTAGGTTTCAAATTGCTTAGTGACAATCTGAAAGGAATTAATTCTCAGTACACTTTTTTATGTTGATAAAACATTATGTACCCCCTGAGGTTTTCTGGAAAGTGAGAATGAAGACATGAATACAAGTACACCACAGCATAACATGACAGCATGCTGAGCAGATATGCAAGCTCACCTGGACCAATGCATCGTCTCCTAATAAGGAGCAAGACAAGGTTGGAGTGGTTCCCAAGAACCCAGAGTCAGTCACTTCTTCCACAGTCTCCCCGATAGATAGCACAAGCGTGGCATTTACGAAAGATACAATGATATAGGCATCAAACTCATCTGGAAAAAGAAAAGAAAGGAGTGGTTAGTAAAGAACTCAAATTTACTAGCATTAGAAAGGCAAGTGAGACACTTAAGAGTTTCAGAAGCCTTCCACAACACTCCTATGTGTAGTCACTACACACATGCACACACAGAACAGGATGGTCCAAAAGATGACTGAGGGCCCTCGCAACCTACAAATAAATGCCCAAAGATACTGAGTACAAATGTCTTCCTCTCTTATCTCTGAAAACTAGAATTTTCTTCAGGCATTTGCTAAAGATATCAGAAAGGACAAGACAAAATTAAATAAAAGTTATGGAAATCTTAAATAGCTGTATGTGTATGCAAAAACTAGAAAAATCTGTGCCAATTGTTGAATGACTGATAGGGTATCATATCATGTAGCCTAGGCTGGATTCAAATCACTTATATAGCTAAAGATGACCTTCTGACCACTCTGATTCTTTCCTGAGTACTGGAATTACAGAAATATAACATCATGCCCAACTTATAAAGTGTTGAAGATGGAACCCAGAGTTTCCTGCACGATGGGCAACTAAGCGAATCCTGTATAATTCTGACCCATTTAACGAATATTTTATGAGAACTAGAAAGACCAACCAGATGTTGGGACACTCCTCAATTCTGGGCACTTGGAGGAGTCAGAGGAAGGTAGATCTGAATTCAAGGAAGTTAAACTATGTAGTGAGACTCTGTCTCAAAAGACAAACAAAAATCCGTAAAAAGACCCTCACCCCTAACTTCTTCCAAAGGGAGCTAATAAAAGAATATAATCTTTAGTGACTAAAGATTTTAGTGACTAAAAAGGACTACTGGAGGTTTGAGCATATTTAGTTATTCTAGAACTAGAACTGGGAATGAGAAGAGTACCAGTTAAGCAGGAAATGGGAGAAGGGAGAATGTTGTTGATATTTTCAAGTCCTTGACCTTTTTAGTTTTTCACTGTTTAAAAATGTTAACAACCAGCACTCGGGAGGCAGAGGCAGGCGGATCTCTGTGAGTTTGAGACCAGCCTGGTCTACAAGAGCTAGTTCCAGGACAGGCTCCAAAACCACAGAGAAACCCTGTCTCGAAAAACCAAAAAAAAAAAAAAAAAAAAAAAAAAAAAGTTAACACAGTGGCTAAGAGCAATCTTATTAGAATTTGTTTTTCATAAAGTATTGAATAAACAAATACTAATGAGTTTCTCAAGGTCTTAATATCTGATTTCTATATAAAGGCATCCTTAATAATTTCCCCTGAAGAATCCCATTGTCAAAGGGCATCTATTTCCCATACCTTCACTCTACAGAATAAAACAATTTCTGAGTTGCCTATGTCCACAATCTAGAACACTGCATACATACTGAATAAAGGCACATTTAATATTTAATGTTTTCAATAAGATTCCTCCCCCACTCTATATCTGTATGGTTACATCAATCTTTTGTCACCTTTTGCTCCACCCAGAAATCAGTTAAACAAAGGACAGAATAACAGAGTAAGGCACTAAATGAGACTGGCAGCTAAAGAGCTCTGCTAGCCCTAAGTCTTGTCAGAGTTCAATGCTAAGGGACTAACCTAGTATTCTACCTACACCAAGAACCATTTTTGGTTTGTATTATTCCAAAATCACTTATTATTAGAATGATTAGAATCAGCATTATAAGACGGGTGAAGTAAAGACATGTTATTGGTGTAGTGTACATAGTGCTACCCCATTAGCAGAACATAGTCTGGTGAGTTGTAATCAGTATTTTTTAACAGAAATCATGTCATGAAACTGCTTCACACAGTAAGGGTTAAGTGCTGCTTGACAAAACTTCCAGTTAATACATGTATGCAACAAGGGTGGCTGAAAAGGAAAAACCAAAGACCTTTCTCAACAGGCAAGTTCTGATGGCTGGACCAGTAGAGTGGTAACTCACAAAGTACAAATACAACTTTCAAAACTTGAATAGTACTGGACCAGATAAATGATGCTGTTTTACAATTGTACTGTTGAGTTGGGCAGAGGTGGCACACGCCTTTATTCACAGCACTTGGGAGGCAGAGGCAGGCGGATCTCTGTGAGTTCGAGGCCAGCCTGGTCTACAAGAGCTAGTTCTAGGTCAGGCACCAAAGCTACAGAGAAACCCTGTCTCGAAACCACCTCCCCCTCCAAAAAACCAAAACAGTTTTAACTGTTAGCATGTGTCAAGTGCTCTGGAGACATCACATATAATGGCTTCATAATACAAAGCACTGTTTGCTATTATAAAATGACTTAAGGCCTGACGAGATGGCTCAGAGGGTAAAGGTGCTTGTTGCACAAGCCTTGAGATCCAGGTTCCACCCACAGAAGCCACATAAAGGATGGAGAGAAGTAACCCCACAAAGTTGTCCTCTGTACTCCACATGCACGCTGTGTCTACACATACACCATAATAAGTAATATTTAAAAAGGAAATTAGGATATAGTTGTCTCTAAATGGATTTCTATAGTTTAGAGAAAGACCTAAATTAATCAATCTCAACCCATCATCAACCTTAAAACTCTATTCCAGCTCCGAATTTCTGACATGTACTAACAAACTGCTTACTTTTGTAAAAACACCGCACCATATCTCATATTTCTATTTACTAAAACTTGGTACCTTGAAAGTTGTGTAAGACTAAATTAAAGTCAATCCATAAAGGGCTTTAACTGGCCACACTTTCCAGGGTTTTCCCTTAGCTGAGAGGGAAAAGGGAGTCTTTTTGGAAGAAAAGTCGTACAATTTTTGACTTACACATGAAGAGAATGGGGTTGAGAAGGGGAGCCCAGGGCTACACCTTCCCTTTAACCACCAGTTTAGACTACTCAGATATAAAGGAAATGTTCAATGAACTTAAGCAGGGGTCACACTTTGACTAAATGACAACACGTGAGAGAACAATGCCTAAAGCCTTAAAGTTCCTTTAATTGCAGATTTCCTGAAAATACCCATTTCCCAGTAAATACCAAGGACACCATAACTTCTACTATTTCCATTCTCCAGCAATGTCCTGAAACAGATTAATTACTATTACTCTTAGGGAGATTACGGGGTAAAAGCTGACATTCAGAAAAAAAAAAAATGCTTCAGGCATAATATAAGAACTATAAAAATTAAATCCTTTTTCTAGAGGTTCTGAGTCTTACACAAAAATTATTTCTTTCTGTCTCAGGGAAAAATCTCTTAGGGTAAGAAAACAGCTCTTAATGCCCAATACTTCAATCTCTCTCTCCCCGCTGCTCCTCTGGAGCACTACCAAGCAGCCCAGAGAGGGAACGCTTTACTCTTCTTGCTGTATGATCAACTACTCTGCAAATAGTCCTCTCCAAAAGGTAACAAGAGAGAGCAAAAATGTAGATGACTGATCTTCTGTATTTCCTTCTCATTTGATATTCAGAGCACCTGGCTCTGCTTGCTTCAGTTTACTGTGACACATCACATACTTCTTGAGGTCCTACTCTTTCAGTCAATACATCTAGAATGGATAATTCTAAGAGACTGAAGCTGTGCTTTGCTAGTTATACATTCTTTCAGTTTCATAAAAGCCAACTAGATGTACTGTTCAGACTCTGGGGGAAAAGAAAGGCTTATTTATGCCTTAGACCAGCTTATAAGCGAGCAGATGGGTGACTGTCACTACAATACACACTGAGATCCAACTGCAAAGTTCCCTCTGAGAGACACCATTAGGGCAGCCTCAGTATTCTGTGCAGGTCATCCCTTTCCCTATAAGATCCCACAGTAGACCCTAACAGTAGGTACACACCTGTGATAATCAGCACCTTCACCAGCCACCTGTGGAAGAGAAAAAAAGGCTTGGTATTGGTAGTATACATCACCAAGTACCAGCCAAGGTTAGTATTTGCCTGAAGACGGAAACACGTGTGGATAGAGGAATGCTCACTCAGTAGTAACGTGGAATATCTGGAAAGAAAATGACCAGGAAACCTAACATGTTTTTGAGGGTAATTGCCCCAAAGTACAGTAAAAAGTAAAACTGATCAGGAAATAGTTGCTTCCTAGCTTTTGATATTTAAGAGAACATCAATTTCAACTATCAGTTCCACCACACTAGAAACTGCCCAGCACTTATGTTGGCAAACATTTCTCTCTCTACAATCCTTCCTTCACCTTCAAATAAGCCTCTTTTCTGTCCTATAACCCCTCCTGCCAGCATGCTTATACTTTCACATCAGTGCAAACAGGAGATGCATACCTGTCTTTTTAAATTTTTTGGTGGTTCTATAGTATAGATCTGGCCTCAAACCCCTATGCATGCTTGTCAAGTGCATTACCACTGAACTACTCCAGTCTCTTTTATATGACAAATGTTCTAAGGCAGAAATTCTATGTTAATTACTCTGAAAGACGACTAGAAGATGAAAGCACACAAGAAACCAATACTATAGACTCCCACCAGAGTTAGTCAAAATAAGCATTGAATTAGGATTCAGGAGATAATTTTCTACTATTTAGGTGTATTGATTTTAGAGTCAACACTTGAGATTTTTCTGCCTTTTCTTCATAAAAACGAGGAGTAACTTCAGCAAACCTAAATCTGCTCTAAAACTTTCAAAAACTATCTAAAAAATTAGAAGCTGGGCACATGCCTGTCATCACTGTACTCAGGAAGCTGAGAAAGGACTGTGAATATAAGGCCACTCGGGACACAACAAGCTCTAGGCTAGCCTAAGTAAACAATGAGATCCACCTTTAAAAGCATCAGATCTCTCAAAGCATCTTTCTAGTTTAACTAATCTAAATAACATTTATTAGAACCTTTTTATTACAATCCACCAAAATTAAGACCACCAACAACTAGTTTCTCTATGTAGAAATTACATTCAATGTAGAAATCTCTTCAAACCAAATATTCAATCACTTTCTCAGCTAAAACAAGCCTATCAATTTCCTGATGACACTCCCCTTTCAACTGATTCCAACTATGAGAACAAAATCCACAAAAAATAAAATACGACACATTCTAAAAAGGTTTCCTCCTACACATTTCCCATCTCCCTCCAGTTTGCTCCATTCAACTAGAACATCTGAACCTCAGGCAGAATTACAGCTGTTTTCCAGCCAAAGCTTTGTTTGCTGGCCAGATTTCACTAGTTCAACATTCCTGAGAGAAAAGATGAAAATGAGGTCTCAGAACAATAACCTGCTCCACAGAAACCACCGGAAACATGACAAGAGTTCTGTTATGGGACTGAATTCAATGTTATAAGACATTCTTATCACTGACGTACCATAGAAGTGCAAGAGTTTCAGTTTTGAGGTGAACATTTTTAATTAAAAAAAAACTCAGATTCCATCTCCTTCATGACTCCTTTTCTACTGAAATTGATTCCACTCAATCTAAACATTTTTAGGCATGAGCAGAACGGACCAATTAATAGGTTTTATAATCTTGACTTTCACTGTAATTTTAGCACAATGAAAACATAATTCAAGCACAACGAGAAAACAATTTTCCCCTTAGAACATACCTCTTACACAGGTGAAACCAGAGCTTTATAAACTCAAAAATCACAGGCAACTGCTGATCCTGAAATGTTTATGCTGTAACTAAAACATAAACAGCCACTCTATACCCTCACTATCCACTTTCAGAATGAGCAGCAGTAAATGAAAGTACCCTGACCAGAAGCCTCAAAAATTATGGTGTTGTGCCAGAAGTTTCTGTGGTAATAGATGAAGCGATATAGACATATTATGCATGCAGTTTCTAAGTTTCCCACGGCAATGGTTCCCAAGTCCCATCTTGACTATGAGGAAAAGGACACTTACCTTCAATGTGCCGACGTACTGTCCAGACAGCATTGGGGTTACCAGGGAGCTCAGAAACAGCCATTTCCGACACCTAAAAGGAGAGAAGGCAAGCCACAGATCCAGTGAGCATGAAACTCTACTACTTACTATGCTAGGTAATAATATCCCAAAGGCCTCTAGAGGCCCCACACTGTACAGTAAGGTAAAGAACTGGACCACTTTGTGGAACCTAAAACCCCAAAACTAGAGGCACTGGCAATCTCCATGACAGACAACAAAAAGCTATGGAACATACAGAAGGGTACAGGTTTACAGCCAAACTATATACTTCCTTTGGATTTGCCAAGTCTATACTCTTAAAAAATGACAAGCACCACTGAAAATAAATGAAACCATCTAAATCAGCAACTTTATTGCTTTCTCTAACTTCTACAAGACAAAAATCACATCTCTTCACAGATGCAAATGCCACACACACATTAGGAAAAATACTGTTTTACCCATGGGCTGACAATCACGGTACAAGTGATTCAAAGAAAGCAAACGGTACCAGTACAATTTTTCCAACTACACTGTGATGCTCCTTAAGGACAGTCAAAACAGATCATACATGAACTCTCTATTTATTACCTTTGGGATTCTGTTATGTAAAGCCACTCTAAATAAATATTTTTAAGTGACCCAGAGACAGAGTGCTTAATGCATTGTGCTATGTAACTACATCTTCTAGGAAGAACAAGAAAATTCAAGACAATGTCCTTTTGAGTTTCCAAGAACAACAGTAAGACATAAGAACTTCATCAGTGCTGGGTGGTGATGGCTACGACTTTAATCCCAGCACTCAGGAGGCAGAGACAGGTAGACCTCTCTATAGATTGAGTTCCAGGTCAGCCACAACTGTTTGACAAAGAAACCCTGCCTCGAAACGCACCCCACACACAAAAAACGTCAGAGTAAAACTTATGTCCCAATATGCTACTCAACTAATAAAAAACTTGGTTTTTATTCAAATAAGATGATAGTCAAAGAAAGGAAGACATACAAGAAGGAACAAAGCAATAACTATTTTTAACTATTTTCAAAATATAACAAAAGCTCTGTTTATAAAGTTGTAAGGACAGAAGGCAAGGCATTAAAAAGCAACTCTGGAGTCTTTTATCTTACACTACACAAAATTGTCTTTTGTGTGGAAAGAATTAGTGGGCAGCTGATCCTCACCGGGAGCCAATGAGCAGTAAATAATCGAGAACTTCAGCTCTGGCATGCAGGTTGGGACAGTTGGACAGCTGTCTGAGGTCAGTCCTAGCTACAGTGAGACCTTTTCTTTAAAAACAACAAAGGAAGCCAGGTGGTTGTGGTTGTGTTTAGTTCCAGCATTCAGGAGGCAGAGGCCAGCCAGGCCTACTGAGCAAATTCTGGGACAGCTAGTTAGGTCTACACAGAGAAACCCTGTCTTAAAACAAACTTAAAAATAAAAAAATAAAAAAAAAAAAGAAAGAAAAGGGAATGAGGGCCAGGCCAGGAAGAGAAGAAAAAAAGAAAAAGGAAAGACAAGCAAGCACACATGTTGTTTCTAAATTTGATCAAGGCCACTGAAGATTTAGTGAAGTATTTTGGCAGTGAAAATATTTTCAGATTTCCAAAACAACAACATTGAACTTGGTTATACTTTAACAAAAATTGGTGAAAAATAGACAGAGTCCTCTTAAGACCTAGCTTGCCAACCATAAACTCTAACTTCAAATGATCACAGAAAATATTATTTTCTTCCACCAAAATATCATAGGTAGTGAACCTGGAGTTACCATTCTATTAAGGAAAAGGTAAAACTCCATGAACTTCAGGGACAAGAAGGCGTACATATTTGTTCACAGAAACAGTTCATCTTTGATCTCACTGAAGTAAGTCTGTATAATGTTTTGTGCTGGCCTTCCTTTTACACCATCAAGAAAACCAAGAAATTCATCTTACCTCAAGTCCATGCCTTAAGACTCTCAGAGATGACCGGGGTCCCCTACCACAGGCCACATACAGCTGAGGAGTGTCTTCATTGGCCAGATCAGCTATCTGCACAACAAGGGGAAAATGTCTATTAAACTAAGTTTTCAAACCTGACTATGAGAGGACAAACTAGTCTCTAAAGTTATATCAAGGGCTACTGACTGGAAAAAGAAAAACGGCCCCCCATGTTCTATATCAAACAAACAACCAACAAAACAACAAGAAAGAAAACAAATCCCACAAAAAAATTGTTAGGTGGTGGCAGTGCACTTAATACCAGCACTCTGGAGGCAGAGGCAGGAAGAAGCAGGCAGGCCTCTGAGGTAATAGTGCCAGCCTGGTCTACAGAATGAGTTCCAAAAGACAGCAAGGAATGCAGAGAAACCCTGTCTTGAAAAAACAAACAAACAAACAAACACAACAACAAAAAAGAAAACAGACAGATTAAAAAAAAAGAAACAAAACACATGCAATTTGTTCAGAAATCAGAAAGGAACTTTGACACTGAGTGAAATGAAGTATTGTTATATATAACCTATACCTGAAATTAATGCTTCCTTCAATGGTCAAATTATACTGAATAATTATAACTGTCACTCATAAAAACAATTTTAACCTACATTCTCAGGTGTTCCAATTACCCTAACCATGACTTCAAAAATTTATTAGACACATTATCAGTTACATATTTATATATGTGCTTATGATATGGCTAACTCAAATCTTACACAATTAGGCAGGCTTATACCTCTAATCTCAGTCCTCAGGAGCTAAGACAGGAGGACAGCGGGTTCACAACTATACTTAAGACTAGTTTACACAGAATCAGACCGTCTCAAAACATCCCTCACAGACTGGTAGATTTTAGACCCCGAACTTCTTTAACTACCAGTTTTCCACAGCAGTGATTCAACAGACAGGTTGTTCTTAAGACTACAATTCAATCTGAAAAAAACTTTAAATGACTGCATTTCATTTTAATAATGGGCTGACACAATGTAGAGGTGACTTAATAAGGCCACACCTGGCAAAACAGAATGGGAGAGAGGCTGTCCAATTCATCAACCAGCACAAGGTTTTTGAGTGGTCTTGGCTGAAAGAAGAATGTGTCTCCTTCTTCTAGTGGCATGGCAGATGAAAATTCAGGTTCTTCATCATCATCTCCAAGATGGGCAATTTGATATAAATAACTGGGGAAAAGCAAATAGACTTTCTTTGTCATAGGTTATGTGCAAACGATTGAGCATAGTTAGATTTCGGTATACTTGGATTTGATTAACAAACTTAGCTGAAAAACTTTCGCAACCAGCACCCACATAAAGATCAGGATGCAGCAGTACCCATCTATAATCCCAGAGCTGAGGAGACAGGCACGGATCCCTGGAGCTTTCGTCCAGCCAGTCTATGCAAAATCAGTGCACTTCAGGTTCAGTGCAAGACCTTGTTTCAGAAAATAAGGTAAAGAGCCTTGAGGAAGAAACCTGATATTGACACCGGCCTATATAACCATACATACTTCCACTGGAAATAAGTTAGAAATAGCACAAACTCCTAGAAAGTATCTACATTTTAATTATGAGAAAACTGAGTTTAAATTAGTAAAGTATTTGCATACATGACAAGAGATACTGGCAAGACCTTGCCATTTATGTAAGTAATTTAAGTTGTAGATACTGGTTTTAAATTGGAAACTAGAGTTCAGATTTCTTCCATTTGGCAATGAAGATCCATCAAAGATTGTTATTACAAAGACCTAGGAAAAAAATATAACTAAGGATTGTCCTATCTTGTTGAGGTGTGGAGACAACTCTATAAAAACTGGGTTTTTGCAGGAAACCCAAAAGAATTTAGACTGTAACCACAAAAAGCAGTAGAGGAAAAATCAATTAAGAACTCACAAGTTACTAGAAATGGCTCTTTAATCATTAGCAAAAAAATCCTGACAACAGCACATTGGTGATGTGCGCAGAAAGCGTAAGTACTAGTGAACTTCAAGTTTAGGTCTGCACAAGAAGTATTTGTGGAAACCTCTCTGGTTTTTAGTTTTCTGGAGACAATCATCTCACGATGTAGCCCAAGTTGGACTTGAACTTGATAATTCTTTTGCCTTAGCCTTCCAAGGGCTGGGATCTAGGTATTTTTACAGATATTAAGGGGCAGTGACAGAAGCCACTGAAGTAAAGGAAGCTAACAAGAAAACGAACACAAAAATGGAACTGGAGGGATGCTTCGGTGGTGGCGGTAGAGGTGGTTTAAGAGCCTTTTCTGTTCCTGTAGAGGACCTAAGTTTGGTTCCCAGTGTTCACATTTTGACGGCTCACAATCATATGGAACTCAAGTTCTAGATGCCCTCTTCGAGCTTTCTATATGTACCTGGTACATATAGAAAATTAGAGCAATACTTGTTTAGAAAAACCTTAACTATTCTGTGAAAAGCTCCCTACTCCTGAAACCACACCGCCCTTTTACTACTTGTGGTAACCAAAGTAAACTGGGACAATAAAAACATTACTTACTGATTTCCAAATTCTGATGCCACAAAAAGAAAGCCTGTTTTAAGCACACACATAGCAGCAGCAACAGGCACAGTATCAAAATACTTCAGGCGGATCTCAGTTACCTGGAGCAAAAAGACTAGTGTAAAGGCAAGTGCAGCTTGGCCACAGTGGCCCACTATTATACATCACAAGCAGAACCACGTAAAACACTATGCTCAGTATCTAAACCATAAGCAAACAAATGACAACTTAGACCTGCAAGGCTGATTTGCTTATACATGGTCTACTGTTCTGTTTCAATGCCCAAGTTAATTTAGACTGACCCTATAAGGTACAGAAAATGAGTACCTAACCTTTACGAACCATACCAACTTCCAACTAAACGGCTATCTAGATAACTAAAATTGCCCATTGTTAAGGACCAAGTCAAAAAAAGATCATACATATTATCAACTCTAAGACATGAGTTTTCTCTTATTCATATAAATTACTGTTATGGCTTTACAAGACTTGTTAGCCAGAATGGGAAAACCTATTTTACATTCAAACCCCAAAACAACCACTTTTTAAGTTATCTGTATTTCTTTTCCTTCCTATTAAAAAGATTGTCTCAAACCATACATCCTAGCCAGTTTCCCCTCCCTCCACTTCTCCCAGGCCCCCAACACCTCCCCTCTCCCCAGATTCACTCCCCCTCCGTTTCCTCTTCAAAAACAAACAAACAAAAAAACAACAAAAAAAAGGCAGGCCTCCAAATAGGACAAAACAAGATGCAATAAGACCAATAAGACAAGGCAAAAGCCCTCTTTCCGACTTATCGAGTATCAACTTTCTCCCTATCTTCACTCAGGTGCAAAGCAGCTTTGTAAATCTTACATGTGTGTGTATGTATGTATGTATACACACACATATATGTATATATACACATATATATACACCAAGTACTTTAGACAATGGTTTTAAATTATATTCAAATTAAAAATCAAAATAGACTACAACAAATGCATATTTCCCCACCCCACCCATTGTCTACTTACCATATCTTCATCTGTCTCCAAAGTAATCTTAAAGATATCTCCCTGCTCCGTTTGGGCCAAAAAGAAGAACATGGACTTGGTCTTATGGGTAGCAGAGCACACAAAAATCATTCCTCTTTCAGGGTCATCCAGGTCATTCTAGCAAGGCCAAATATATAACCAACATCTTAGAAATAGGTACTCCTTACTCTAGAATTCAGAACTTTAACACTCAAGTACACATATTTGTATGTGTACTAACATCCAAATATTAACCACAGTAGCTGCCAACTAAACAAAACAACTTGTCTGTTCGAAACATATACTAAACGCCCAGTAACCACAAAAAAAACAGCTAATATTCCATTCTGCAGCCTGATCAGATCAGTAAGGCAAAAATCATCTCCAGAGAAAAATGTCAGAGAAGAGACATGAAATTAAAGTCATCATTTCAGGCTGCGAGTAAAAATTTAAAAACAAAAACTACATTCACACTGCCATGAGGCATCCATCACCAACCGATCAGTGCAGTACCAAATTCTGTTGCTCTGAGTTTTTAATGTTAACGTCTCATAAAATATTTATGCTAGCAAACTCTATATGAAGTTTTGCTTTTTGTTTTGGGTTTTTTTTTTTTTTTGATTTCTCGAGACAGGGTTTCTCCGTAGCTTTTGGTTCCTGTCCTGGAACTAGCTCTTGTAGACCAGGCTGGCCTCGAACTCACAGAGATCCACCTGCCTCTGCCTTCCGAGTGCTGGGATTAAAGGCGTGCGCCACCACCGCCCGGCTTCTATATGAAGTTTTATAGCAAAGTCCTGGCCGTTAGATGCTCAGGAAATGTCTGATCAACAGGCTGATTTCACTATTTTTAGTCAAGGTTAAGTTTCTGCTTAGGTTTTTAGGAAATTAATGGATTTCCACACAGATCAACTAATTAAACCCTATTAGGTTAAATCTAGAGCCAATATTAAAAATAGATTATTTAAAGTTGAGGGGGAAACAATGTAAAAACTGATGCAGGAATAAGATCGATAATGTATTCACAGGATAAATAGATTATAAAGCAAAGAATAATTACAAAACTCAAAGACTACCATCATAGTCTGTGAGCTCACAATAAAGTGAACAGGCAGGTACCACCTTAGTAAAGCGATAGTTTGCTCAACAGGCAGTGCTCACCCCGAACACACAAAGCTTTGTGTCCAAGAACTGAATATACGAGGCACAGCAGCATATGACCGTAATCCTGACACTTGGAAGGGTACAAGGATTACAGAAAGACAAGTTTATCCTGAGCTAAATTGAAAGTTTTGATCCTATTCTGGGTTATATATTAATAAACAAAATAGTAATTTCATCTTTTAAAAATACCTATTTTAGAAAAACAGCATTTATTTCTTAGAATAACTAAAACTTGGCAACAGATAAATTTAAGATATACTAGGGGTCAGTGAGATGGCTTAGCAGACAGCGAAGCTTGCTAAGCCTAACAACACGAGTTCAAATTTGAGGCCCACATGATGGAAGGCCAAAACTGACTCCTGAAGTTTGTCCTACAACCTCCTTGGCATACATGCACATAAAATATTAAAAAAGAGAGTCAGGCCAAGTGGTGGTAGGACACATCTTTAATCCCAGCACTCAGGAGGCAGAGGCAGGTAGATCTCCGTAAGTTTGAGGCCAGTCTGGTCTACACAGAGAAACTCTGTCTCGGGGGAAAAAGAGAGAGAAAATAACTATCCTGTAATCATAAAAATGTAATTCACTTCCTAACAACATCTTTCCTCTATGACAAAGATCTTACCCGTCTCCTAGGAATTGGACATCGGATATCTGGTTGGTCACCAAAGTTCTTATAGGTGATATAATTTTCAGAACAGATCAGCACCCCACTTGGACCATCTGACCCTCCAGGAACTGTGAGAGGAAAAAATAAACTTAACAGTGACGTAAACTACTCTGGCCTGCTTTTATTTAACTGTTGTCTTTCCCACTGATGAGGTTGAGTGCCAGAAACTAAAAGACAAGCAAACCAAATATTTCTTCCCCCTGATGCTCACTGTTAATCCAAGAACTTGAGAGGAGGAAGAGGCAAGAGGATCAAAAGTCAAGTAACCTTCAGTTACAGTGAGTTTGGGGCTAGTCTGACCTGTATTAAAACAAAGCCAGAAATGGTAGTTTCCATCTATAATCCTAGCACCTATAAGAATGATGAATCAAAGACTCAAGATTTATCTACACTGAAAGATTTGAATCCAGTCTGAGGTATAAAACAGTTCCAAAAGACTAAATAGATAAATAAAAAATTGGGGCCCAGTTGGCAAAGTGCTTTCCATACAAACAAGAGGACCACTTAAAAGCTTTAAGCGAAAGCACACCCTGTAATCTCATATCCCGGGGGTAGGGGTGCTGTTGCTGTCAATGATCTTAGCTGCTAAGTCACATCTCCAGGCCCCTTCCTCAGTTCTGATACTCACAATAAGCAATATAGTCTCCTACAGTTTTTAAATAAATAACTTTTATTATTTTACTACCTGTCTGAACAAATATATTTTGTGTTCTTTTTCTTTTCGAATCAGGCATCTCGTTCATTATACATGCCCAGGATTTGCCTCAGATACAGTAAGATTCAACTGCCTATGTCTCTCAAGTGCTTGGACTAAAGGCATGTCACCATACCTGGTGAAATTCTTTCTTTCTGGTATTTATTTATTTATTTATTATGTATACAATATTTTGTCTGTGTGTATGTCTGTAGGCCAGAAGAGGGCACCAGACCTCATTATAGATGGTTGTGAGCCACCATGTGGTTGCCAGGAATTGAACTCAGGACTTTTGGAAGCGCAGGCAATGCTCTTAACCACTGAGGTTTTCTCTGGAGCTTTGGAATCTGTCCTGGAACTCACTCTGTAGACCAGGCTGGCCTCGAGCTCATAGAGATCTGCCTGTCTGCCTCCTGATTGCTGGGATTAAAGGTGTGCGTCATCACCAACGGCTAAAGTTTTTTCTTAAAACAGTAAAAAATAAATGGTAATTGAGGGTTAGCTCTGCAGTTAAGAGGACCTAAGTATGCCAGGTGGTGGCACCTTTAATCCCAGAATTCATGAGGCAGAGACAGGGGGGATCTCTGTGAGTTCAAGGCCAGCCTAGTCTACAGAGTAAGTTCCAGGACAGGCTCCAAAGTTACACAGAGAAACCCTGTCTCAAAAACACACAGAGGATCCAAGTTCAGTGGTTCATTAACTGCCCACGACTACAGCTCCAGATCTGGACATCCTCTTAGGTCCTTGTGCAGTAACTTACACAGGCATATTCACACACAAAAATAAACACCTGAAAACAAAACTGTTACATTTGAGCATGAAGATGGACATGAACAAAGGTGTTCATGTGAAGGTCAGTGGCCAACCATAGGAGTAGGTTCTCTCCTACCAAAGAGGCTGTAGTTCCAAGAATCAAACCCAGATCTTCAGGCTTGGTGGCAAGCACCTTGTTAAGCCACTTTGGGGACCTCCAATTTCTCTTTAGATTAATATTAGTAATGCTTTTCAGAGTATTTCATCTAAACTTTCAAATTCATAAACTGACTTGTCTACATACTTCAGAGGGTAAGAGTTATCAAAAAGAGTTAGATACTTCAAATATTCGGCACAGCACCTTTTGCTTGTTTTTACAGACAGGGTTTCTCTGTGTAGCCCTGGCTGTCCTGGAACTCATTCTGCCAATCAGGCTGGCCTCCAATTCAGAGATCCCCTGCTGGGATTAAAGACATATGGTGCCCAGTCTCCCCCCCCCCATAATCATTTTCAAAAAGAAAAAAAAAATACCCGTAAAACTTGGTATGGTAGCCAACATCTGTAATTCCAACACTAGAAACTAAGAAGGCAAGAACTGTCATGAGTTCCTGGTGAGTTTGGATGACCTAACCAAGACTAAAGGATGAGAACTTGTCTAAAAACAACAGAACAGAAACATAAAAAGCTAAGGTTTGCTATAGGAAATTAAGACCCAAATCCTATGTTGTCAAACTTATTGAGTTTGGGCATAAAATGAAGCAAGTAAAAGATACAAAACAGGCTAGAGATGGCTTAGCAGTTAATTAAGAGCACTGGTTCTCTTCCAGAGACTGGGATTCAATTCCCAGCACTCACATGGCAACTCACAACGGTCTGTAACTCTAATTCATAGGGATCCAATATCTTCTTCAGGCCTCCACAGACATACAAAAAAGCAAAACACCCATATAAAGTAACTTTTTTTTAAAAGCACAAAGAAGCACTGGAGAAAAGTACCTGTAATAAGGAAGTTGCCATGTTCCTCCAAGGGTTCACTGTATTTTCGAACCACATGATTTAAACCAAGGTCTAATTCATAAAAAGTGAGTGTCTGCTGAGTGTTAGCTGCTGCTTCTCCTGTTGGATCATTGTCTGCTTCCTGTAGGACAGTGCCACAAAGACTAATCAGAAAATTTTAGACTTAGAAAGGATAACAGGACCTTGTATTTACACAATGAAATAAAGGTTCACAGATTCCTAAGAGTTTGACAAAGTTCATGCTACTATACAAATGGTAGAGCTACAAGGACACCAATCTCTATTATTCTATATCCAGGGATGCCACTACTAGAGGATGCTGCTTTCTGTCCAGAGCAAAGGGTAGTTAGTATGCTTTGCCTTTCACTACTCCCCTTCTTAAAAATACATCAAATAGAACTTTGTATCTCTCATGCAGCTCCTCCCAATAAATATCTCAGTCCACAGTCTGTCACTTAAATCACAGCAAAGGATGTGACATAGTCAAGTGCAAACATTTTGAAGGTTTTCAGTAAAGCATTTTAATGTGAAAAAGACCTGCCAGAAAAAAATAATTTAAGAGCCATGCGGGTGCACACCTTTAATCCCAGCACTCAGGAGGTAGAGGAAGGCAGACCGCTTTGAGTTTGAGGCCAGCCTGGTCTACAGAGCAAGTTTCAGGACAGGTTCCAAAGCTACAGAGAGAAACCTACCTCAAAACGCCTCCCCCTCCCCACCCCGGAATGATTTGAGAAAAAAATTTAAATAGTAACAAAGAAGGCTTTAAGACCCACATCCACACAATGAAGGTAATTATTTTACACACAAAAAAAAATTGAGATGAATTAAAAGAGAGAGAGAAAGAGGGAGAGACAGTCTTCAGTACCTCATAATCCATTTCCAAACAAGCAAACATAGGATTTTCAAAACCCACATCTACTCCAACCACATGATATACTAGAGTGTTCGCTTTGTGGGCCTCCAGGGGAGATGAAATGGTAAGTCGAGCTGCAGCATCTCTGTTCAAGATATATACCAATTTTTGCTTCTCAATTGCACCTATAGTTGAAGGAAATGAAACACACCAGACTTCCACTTGATGAATAAAGTACCTTAGACATACACAATGCTATTCTTTTAAAATAAGATTAACAGTTATCACTAACTGTACAAGTAGCGTACAGCTCTCTATTGTTAGCAGATCAAAAAATTATAACCCCTTCTTTCTAAGAAAAAAAATCTTAATATCCCTCTAATTCTTCAGAAAGTTTTAAGGTGCCCTGGACTTAAGAACACTGAGAACACAATACTAAGTAATATTTGTGTTAGCTATCCTTTGAACTAGGCCTAGTGATTCAAAGGGTTGCCCTCTAGAGGCCTGATCAGATACACAGTTTCCTTCAGTAGCTCATCAGAGAAGAGACATGAATGTGAATCATCACTTCAGGCTGAAGAAAGCAACCACACTGACCACACAACTAAGATCCTTCCACCCCAGCCTTTGCTGCAGAACAATTATTTTTTTCCAACTATATAAAAATTACTTTATGACCTTCCTACTATTTTAAAAGGAAACCTTTAACAAAATTAAACAGAATACAAATGTAATGCCAAATGTTAGCACATTAAGTGATAGACTAAAACACTGCGAAGATCATAGCGTATTATATAGTATACCGAGCACACTCATGTGTGTGCGCGCACGCGCACATACACACAAAAATCAGAGAAACACTCAAGAGCAAATAAAGTAAGTCACTCACTAATCATAACAGCTCTCCCTTTGGGATCCACAGCTAAGAACTGGCCAGGAACAATACGGCGACATCCACTTTTGCCAAAAGTTTCTTGGTGAATTTTCTCAAACATATTCTTAGATGGCTGGTATTCCAAGATAACAATTCGACCCGAGTCACTACCAACTACAATGTAGTCTTTAGTGCCACCTGTTAGCCTAAAGGCCATAAGTGACCGAATAACACCAAATACTTCCACAGTGAGGAGGGTATGTACTTTCCCGGTATTAGGGTCTGGGCGAAGTAACTCCAAAATCTTCCCACGAGAAACAACAATTTCCTGTTGTTTGGTTCCTAAATCACCAAAAGATAAAGATCATAAACACCCAGAATATAAGCCCCCAAAATAAGAAGGATGGATAGAAAGGGCAAATGGGTTTAAATTAGTTGACAGAATCTATATTTTGAACTAATTTATTATACTTGAAAAGGTACTTTCCGCTGGGCAGTGGTATTACACGCCTTAAATCCCAGTACTTGGAAGGCAGAGGCAGGTGGATCTCTGTGAGTTGGAGGCCAGCCTAGTCTTGCTCTGTAGAGCAAGTTCCAGGGCAAGCTCCAACAAAAGCTTTTGAGACAGAGAAACCCTGCCTCAAAAAAAAAAAAAAAAAAAAAAAAAAAAAAAAAAAAAAAAAAGAAAGGTAG